CAACTGGAACGAGAAGAGTTAATCCATTGGGAAAAGCGGCGAAAGCAACTACGAAAGATTGGCAGAGAATCCGACGGCGGACGGAAGACATAACGGAGGATTAGGTTTCGTAAGAGTTACACGTGAGTGGCGGTTCCCCATTTTAGTTTCCGCCCTCTTTCCCTATTACCGACCATAACACATAATCATCCCACCCCCCTGGTGTCTCACATTTCAAAATAAATTTTCTTGTGAGTACATGTAATATTTATACACACATTTAAAAAATTTGATTACGTGCTGAAAGTTTCATTAAGGTTGTACGTCTAGAAATTAAATTATTCAACAAATAAATTCTCAAAATATTGCCACCACTGCAGCGCAACCCATGCGCAATCGCCTGTATATGCGCGTGTGTGTCCGAATTATTATTAAAATGTCAGTTGCTCGAAGGTTTCAGGAGATCTCGTAGTCGAGCAGTTTCGACTAAAGCTTTCTTAAATTTAATTTTTTTTTTTTCAAGTTTTTAACTAACGCTGAGTAACTGAACTTACTTGTTAAGGTTATTAATCATATTATCAATAAATTCCTTACTTCTGGTTGCCATACGATCTTCGCGCTCGTCAATACGAAAGGTATGAGCATCTTTCATACCGGCTATTAAATTTAATATAGCATCCCGATCATCCATACACATTCTAAGCTCAGGGGGAACGTCTTCAAAATCCTGCATGGCAAGTTTTGTTGAAATAAATCTAGTCACTATTTCAGTCATATTTTCAGAAAAATGAACGGAAATTTCGCGTAGTTGCACAAAAAATGATTGAGAGGCTTCTAAGAATTTGGACATCATGTCTGAGATCTTACGATGAAAATTTGTTGTAGATTCCTAAGTATTAAATATTAATTTTTTTACTATAAAAATATTGTTGATTATAATGTAAAATTTTTTAGCTAACCTCAATTGTTTCATGTAAATGCAATTCCTGAGACATTAGAATAAGCCACATGTCGTTCAATGAATCTTCAAAGTGTACATTCAACTTATCCATTGTATCAGATAGCTTCATATTTTCCAGTGAATCTTCATCGTCTCCGTGCATTACGTTTTGCTCCAATAGTCGAAGTGTAATCCGAGCTTCATCGAATATTTTATCTTTGTATAGTAAAAAATCTTCAATCTCTTTTTGACCTGAGCCTTGAAGTTCTTTTTGACCATCAAGTAAATTATCCATAAAATCCCTTATTTCTTCATCTCGTTCAACAAAACGTTTCAAACCCAGCTTATAAATTTCTTGGGTAAGTTCAAATACATCTTTTTCATATTCTTCAGCAAGTTCTTGCGCTTGCTGTCCTACTAACATTAATATACGGCCATCAGCATCATCGCGCCAAAAGGATTCGAAAAGTTGGTTACCATCTAAATGATCCACAAAACTGGAAGATAAACGTCTAGCTTCTGATTCCTCTCGGGCTTGTAACTCACGCGCTTGAATTTCCTTTTCTTGAAGAAATTCGACTTCGCGCAATTCACGGCTAAAATGTTGTACAACTCAAAAAAAAAAAAAAAAAAAAAAAAAAAAAAAATTTTTTT